GGATAGACAGAACCATGGCAATAGACAGCAGTGTAAGGAGCAGCAGAGCGCAGAGGTGAGTGGGTGTGACCACACACTCCTGGGCACACACACACACCCACACTCCTTCCGCCCGTAGACCCTTAAGCCTCCGGCTACCCGCAAATACTCTCGTTTACTCCATCTATCCCCCTCACCCACGACTACCTCACGCCTTCCACCCCAACCCCACCAACCCCCCCCCACCCTCCCCACCCTGCCCACCCTGCCTCCCCCCCTCTCCTTCCCGTATTCCCCAGCTGGAGGAGCGGCGCAGGCAAGTTTTGAGGCGCCTAAAATCCACCCTGCCGCCCCTCCTCTCCTTCCCCTGTAACCCTGCACCCTCCCCACCCTGCCGCCCCTCCTCTCCTTCCCGTGTACCCCCCCAGCTGGAGGAGCGGCGCAGGCAGGATGACCCAGTGGCGTTGGAGCACCAGACGCCCTGCCACCTACCTTGTGTGACCTGCGTACCCCACTGTACCCCTCTGTACCCCTCATTGCCCCTCATTGCCCCTACTTACTCCTGTCAGCTGGAGGAGCGGCGGAGGCAGGATGACCCAGTGGCCTTGGAGCAAGCAGTGATGCGGCAGAAGGCAGCGGTGCAGCAGGCGCAGGTGAGAGGGGAGGGATGCACAGGTGAGAGGGGAGGGAGGGACACAGTTGGCGGTCCAATGGCACAGGAGAACGTGCAGGTAATTGGTGGCTGGATGTGCTTTGGTTAGGGCAGGATGATCCGGTGGCCTTGGAGCAAGCAGTGATGCGGCAGAAGGCAGCGGGGTGCAGCAGGCGCAGGTGAGGGGGGGGATGAGAGCAGTTATGCAGCAATGCTGTCAGCTGTAGAGGCAGGATGACCTGGTGGCGTTGGAACATTCAGTAATGTGGCAGAAGGCAGCGGGGTGCAGCAGGCGCAGGTGAGGGGGGGGATGAGAGCAGTTATGCAGCAATGCTGTCAGCTGTAGAGGCAGGATGACCTGGTGGCGTTGGAACATTCAGTAATGTGGCAGAAGGCAGCGGGGTGCAGCAGGCGCAGGTGAGAGACAAGAGGAGCAGGACTGATGAGTTCATATGTTAACCAAGCAACGAAATTCTCTCCCAACCCAACTCTGCCCTTCATGCACAACTAGCGCAGCTTCGCATGCGGTGCCTGCATGCCCGTAGAACTTCGTTATTCCAGCGCTTTTGAGTGTCACCTAGTTTTGTTCAGTTCTATTGAGTATCACCCTGAGGGCGTGTTAGTTGGAGGTTCGGAGGGGTCTGTTCGAACCTCCACCAGATTGTACCACGTTAGTGATCAGTATCACCACACCGTAACGTTTTCCACCGCTTTAAACGTCCGAACCCAAGACATGTTGGAACCTCCAACTAGCACGCCCTCAATTCCCAGGTTCAGAAAGAAGTTTGCTGTCTCCCTGCTGTCTGTTTCCTTCGTCGCCCCTGAGGTTCGCCGCGTGATTGAAGTGCCGACACGGATGTTTGCTGAGTGTTTGCCTATTTTCCCGCCATTTCTGCCGGTCTCGGCGCACTAGGGACAGACACTCACTTGACGCTTTCATAGTTAAAGATACTGCGTATGGGCGTGCCCCGCTCCCTCCCTTAACAAGACCCCCCACTTCCCAACACCCCCACCCTTCCCATCCTCAATCCGTCCGCAAAATGTTCTTTACGTTGACTTACGTATGCTCTTCTGCGCGCCTCTCTCTTTCCCTTTCCCCCACACCCTCCCCAGGCTGCCGTTGAAGCGGAGATGGTGAGAGGCAAGGAGTTCAGGCGCAGGCTCCAGCTGGCCCAGCAGAGGGCTGCTGCTGCAGTGCTTGTCTTAACACTGCCTTCTCCCCCCTCCTCCTCTCTCCCCCTTCTCTCCCCTGTGCTCGTCTCGTCTCTTCGTTTTCCCCCCAGGCTGCCTTTGAAGCGGAGATGGCGAGAGGCAAGGAGTTGAGGCGCAAGCTCCAGCTCGCCCAGCAGAGAGCCGCTGCTGCTGCCCTTGCCAGTGCCAACGCTGCTGCCGCCGCCGCTGCAGCTACAGCCAGCTCAGCAGGTTCGGGAGGCTCAGGCTCAGCCGAACCTGCCGGCCAGGCTGGGCAGCAAGGCTCGGCCGAGGCTAACGCTCAAATCGCAGCTGATGGAGAGTCTCGACCTGCTGGTCCGTCGCCTGCGGCTGCTGCTGCTGCTGCAGCAGTGGCTGCAGCAGGGGGGGCTGGGGAGCCGCCATCAGCAGCAGCTGCTGCTGCTGCCTTTGCTGAGCTGACTGCCAGGCTGGAAGAATTCAAGAGGCAGCGGGCCGTACTGATTCAGCGCCTCGCTGCGCTGTCGAATGAGACGGTGCCAGGTGGCCCACAGGGGATGGTAGGGGCAGGAGGGCCGAGAGTGCCCCAGCTGTCAAGGGATATCCCGAGTCACTGAGTGGAATGATGGGGTGAATCCTTCTACTGGGAGGCTGGGCCTTGAAAACAGCCATAAAATCCATGTTTTTTATCAGGCGTGATGAAAATGCTGATGAAAAAGGAATCAAGCAGGGACAGGGTGTAACAAATGCCAGCGTCCTGTTGGGGTCCTGAGGAGCAGGCCTCTGGATGGGATTAGAAGTACTCTTTGTCATAAGGGTATTCGCTTGTTGCTACTTTTTTTGTAAGGGTATATTTTTATGCTGTTCGTAATAAGGGTCCTACAAAATACGAGAAATTTTTTTGTTCCAACTTGTATACCACCAGCACACTCTAAACCTCTATGCCCAGATCTGGGCATAGAAGTCTCTTGCTGCAAGACGTCATTTCTGTTAGATACTCTACAATGGTTAGCGGACTCATTTCCGCTGCAAGTGGTAGGCCTCCTGCTCCTCGTGTGAATACTAGGAGTGGTGGAAGGCGTGGGTCCCCTGTACGTGAGGGGGACCGAAACTCTTCATCTCAGCATAGAGAACGATCTCGTTCTCCTCGTCGTGGCGGAGGTAACGGCGCAGTTACCGCTTTGGATTTGCTGAGTGGCGCGCGTCAAGACCCTGTTCAGCACGTCGAAAACGCGGCAGGGGACGCGGATCGTAACACGTCACGCAATCGCGATTTCCCCCCCGGATTTCAGGGCGAGCGGCGTAACGAGCAGAACCGCGTCGACACGAACCCGATTGCCGAAAACGCCCCCTCCCGGCCCCCACCTACCGAACGCAATCATGACGGTCCTGCGCGTGAGGACCACAATCATGATCGTGATCCTGCGCGCGCAGGGCGTCATCATGAGCGCGATCTCAACGCCCCAGCGCCCCAGATTCGCCAGGATCGCGAGGATCGGGACCGGGATCGCGCAGATCGCCGCACAGATTTTCCTCCTGCCGCAGTGAATCCGCGCGGGATTCCGCAGATCTCGACCCCTGGAGCAGCAGAAATCGCCGAAATGATTGCGCGCCTGGATCCTGCAGCCCAGCGCAATCTCCAGCGAATCTTCACAGGAGCTGCTAGCGAACGCGTTACAGCGCGCTCCACTGCATCTACAGCGCCTCATTCTGCAGAACATAATTCTGCTCGCTACACCGACAACAATGTTAACGCCGGCACCAACAACGAGGCCATTCACCACGTTCTTGGCCTTCTCGCGGCGCTCCAGCGGGGCAATGGCGCCGATCCCGCACCGCCACCGGAACCAGCACGCGTCGCAGCGACGGTGGCCCCACGCTCTCGCCTCCCGGCGCCCGCCCCCGAGCCCGTTGACGACGAAATGGACGAGGAAGCACCCCATGCCACGCTCGACGAAGGTAATGCCGCCCGCCCGAAATCCGCTTCTGCATCGCTCACCCTCGCTCCTATTCCACCTGCACGTCCTCAGTTGCGCTCTTCCTTAGTTAAAAGCGATGGAATTCGTACGCAACTTTTTAGTTTTGAGCGCATTCAAGCTATTGCACGTCATGCTATCTCGGTTTTACCACTTGACGGTGGGGAACAAGCCGCCGACTATCTCCAGCAGATAGTAGAGGAGGCGGAAGAGAAGATTCATTTTTTGTTTACCGCGGATCAACGCGGTTTCGAAGTGGCCAATATGGCCCTTAAGATTAAGTATGGGGAAGTGGTAGAGGATAAGAATGTGAAGGCCGCTTCTCAGATTGTAGCGGCCAGCAAGAAGAGGCCCACTCGGCCCACCCATCCCACCTCCCGTCCTGAACCCCCTCTTCGCCCTCGCGGCCAAGGGGAGCGCCTTTGGAACACATGGCGTAGGGACGGCGACGGCCGTTGTTTCTATTGCCGTGAACCCGGGCATGAGATGGCTAATTGCCCCCAAAGGGGCCAAGGGGCCAATCGGCCAGCTAAGATTGTGTAAAGTTTGCTTAACCTCTCCGATGTTGTAGCGTTCTTAATTAAAAAAAAAAAAAAAAAAAAACACACACACACACACACATTTGTGCATTCAAGCAAGATTAATACGCGCGTCATACGGCCACACGGTCTTGCACGTTGGGCCCGTGCAAGAAGACGTGAACGTGCCCACAAGACGCATACACAATGTGTGTGCGTCCTTTAAAGACTGACGTTGATAAGATTCATGACAATATTTCTATGTCCATCGCAAAAAACGTATGCTCGCAAAACGATTGCGTAGCATTTGCGCAAATGCTTTGCAAACGTTTTGCGAACATGTGGGTGAACACTCCTGGCGGACTAAGATTAGAACACTTGGCGAATGCTTTGGCAACATTTCTCGAAACACTTTTTGGTTCACGACAAGGAATATATGACGACCAACTACAGCCCAAAATGCCAAGTTCACATTCCCAACCCATGGTTTATCACTTAAGGGATGACGTGGCCGAATAATACTGAGCAAGCGGGCACCTATATTTAGCGTTTGCCTTCCTTCCAAAAAAAAAAAAAAAAAAAAAAAAAAAGTCGTTGCGTTCGGAACTACATGAGGTACCTTCCTGATTCTCTACCGTCCCTATTTGTGTTCCCTCTCCTACCAGAGCTCGGAACCATCTCGGCCTATGCCGATGACGCAACCAAGATTACCCGCATGCAAGGCCGCCTCCGTGACCGCGCTGCATGGTGGTCCGCCTGGTGCGACAGCCGCTTGATTCTATCGGTGATTACATCTGGATATCGCCTACCATGGGTTGCCTCTGAGCTCCCTCCGTCTCGTACTAAGAACCATGCCGGTGCTTTGCAATTCACCTCTTTCGCCGTAGGCGCAGTGGCCGAGCTTCTCGCCACCGGTGCAGCTCGGGTCGTTCCTCCTTCCACAACCCTCACATGCGTTAGCCCCTTAAACGTGATTGTCCAACCCTCAAAAAAGAGACTGATATTGGATTTGCGGCATGTCAACTCATTCCTCTCAGTACCTCATTTTCGATACGAAGGACTTACTCGCGTTCCTGATTTGGTGCAAGAAGGCGATTGGCTATTCACGATCGATCTCAAATTTGGATACCACCACGTCGACATTCACCCCGCTTTCTGGCAGTTTCTCGGATTCTCCTTGCAAGGGCAGGACTACCAATTCCTCTCTTTGCCTTTCGGGCTGGCTACAGCGCCGTTTGTGTTTACCCAGTTAATTAAGCAACTCGCCAAACGCTGGCGTAGCCGTGGCATCCGCCTTATTCCATACGTCGATGATATCCTATTCATCAGTGCCACTCGAGCGGAGGCTCTTCACAACCGCTCCATAATCATTGCCGACCTCGCAGCTGCGGGCTTTGTTGTGAATTTCAAAAAATCACAACTCGCACCGGCACAATCTTTGAAGTTCTTGGGCCTCTTGCTGGACACGCGCACCACCACCTTCTCGGTCGATGCGGATCGGCGCAACCGGCTTTTTGCCGAGCTGGATGAATTAGGCACACTCGGCACTAACGGGCGTCGCATCCCTGTTCGCCGCGCTGCCCGCATCACCGGCATGTTGGCCTCCATGTCCTTGGCGCTTGGCACTGTCGCGCGCGCTTTTTCCCACCACCTTCTCACGCAGATCGCCAAATGCCACTCATGGGGGGCGGCCATTCTCCTCACCCCTGAGTCTGTTGAAGAACTGCGATTTTGGCTTACACAGTTCGACATTTTCAACGGCGCCCGCTTCCACAACCCGCATTTGTACGACGTGGTCATGTACGTGGATGCTAGCGACCATGCTTGGGGGGCTTGTTATTCAGCGCCGGATGGTCGTGTCGGCTCGCTCTCCTCCCCGCTGCCTCTAGCCCTCTTGGGCTCGTCCAGTACCCTTCGCGAGCTGGCCGGAATCTTTTGGTCCCTTTCGGCCTTTTCTGTCGAAATCCGACGTTCGCACATCTTGCTCCGCAGCGACAGTCAGGCGGCCTACTACATCCTCCAGAAGGGAGGCTCTCGCCGTCCCGAGCTTACAGTACCTTCGTATGCCGCGCGATTATTCAATTGTGCGTGCGCCATATGATCCGTCTTATGGTCCAATGGATTCCCCGTGCGCTGAATACCGAGGCTGACGCTCTGTCCAAGATTGAGCTCCACGACGACTACTCCTTGACACGACCTTGGTTCCGGCTGCTTGAGAGGCATTGGGGGCCTCATACTATCGACTTGTTTGCATCCCCTGCCAATGCGCAGCTCGCTCGTTTCTGCTCCCTCGAGTTCTCACACTCTGCGGTTGCGCAAGACGCTTTTTCTATCACCTGGGGCCACGAGAATTGCTTCGCCTTTCCTCCACCCACCCTCATCCCGGCTGTCCTAGCTCATGCCCGTCGCTCGCGCACTTCTCTCACTCTCGTGATCCCATATTGGCCCAGTGCCTTTTGGTGGCCTTTGCTAAGCTTGGATGGCTCTACTTGGGGCGCGGAGGTCGTTATGGCCCTTCGCCTTACCCTTGGTGCTAGTTGTTTACGCGTTGGCAGTGACCGTCATGCCTTTAGCGGTGCTGGTCTTCCGAACTCTCCGATGTATGCGCTTCGTTTTGCATTCAACTAATGTATCAATTTATTTCACTGCGCAGGCTCATATATTGGTCGATTATTGTCGGACCTTCTCACACTCACCGTTGATCTTCGGGCGAAGTCTACCCTTCGCACTTACGAACCCTATTGGCGACAGTTTCGAGCCTTCTGTTTGGCGCACTCACTTCCCTTCCTTCCCGCCACCGACCTGACAGCGTCCCTCTTTCTGCTGCACTCGGTCCGTCACGGCGCTACTGTCTCAGCTGTGCGCACTGCGTGTTCCGCCATATCCTGCGCCCATTGGCTGGTTGGCCACCCCTCCCCGATTCGCGGCCCCTTTTCTTCGCAAGTCAAGGATTATGCCATGCGTCATTGTGGCAAGCCATCTCAAGCTAAGGAGCCCATTCCTCCAGCCAAGATTTACGATATCTGTGACATCTACTTCTCATCGCATGATCCGGCCACATTCCAGCGGGGCCTTATTCCCCTCCTCATGTTCGCAGCCTTCCTTTGTTTCTCTGATCTCGTCTCCCTCCAGTGGCACCAGATCGAGTTCGATCGGGACTGCATGTGGTTGTTCATCCCTCGTTCGAAGACCGACCAAGCTGGCACCGGTGTTTGGGTCCCAGTGGCTGCTTCTTCTGCCCGCCACTGTCCGGTGTCGCGTGTCCAACAATTCCTCTTCCTGGCTGGCTATTCTCCGCGGACCCTTGGCCCCCTTATTCGTATATTTCAGCCGGGTGCCCGAGCTTCCCCCTCAGATCGCTCTCCCTCGTACGCCGCCATTCGGGGTTGGTGTCGAGATGCTTTCTCCTGTGTAGGCCTTAACCCGGCCCTCCTGGGCACCCATTCTTTCCGCAAGGCGGCTGCGACGGTCGCCGTTGATATTGGAGTCCCCGACCGGCTTTTCAAGGCCCTAGGTCGCTGGCGAAGTGATACAGCCAAGGAGCTTTACATTACTCAGCTTGACCGCGAGCTAGTGGCTGCTTCTCGCGCGCTACAAGATCCTACTCGCTCGAGCGCGACCGATCGGTACCAGGCCACCCTCGAGCGCCACCGCCGACGACCTACCACTTGATGTCTCGTTTGACCTATGACGACTGCACTGCACACTCCTCTGAGGTCGTGTCACAATATGAGAATTTTTTTTGTAGTAAAAAATTTACAGATTGTGATTCGACTAGAAGAGGAGTTTGCTGTAAAGGAGACAAACTCCTTCATCTATCGGCAGGTCTTTCAGACCTGCCACCTAGTCTCATTTGCATTTTTCTGTTCCAACTTGCCCACCCTTCCCTCCCATGCTTTGATAACTAGCATGGCCTGCTCACCCTTGTTCCCTTGCCATGTATTTGCCCTATCTAGTGTGCTGTACTATGGAGCTATGATATGCTATGACGACTGCACTGCACACTCCTCTGAGGTCGTGTCACAATTGTACCTTTTCATATAGGGGTATAACTCCAGCGCAGCCTTGTACTTTACCACATGTTAGAATAGCAGAATGACTAGAAATTTTGATTCGATTTGAAGAGGAGTTTTGCTGTAAATGAGACAAGCTCCTTCACATTCTCGCAGGTCCGATGGACCTGCCACCTAGTCTCATTCTCAATTCTCTTCTCTGATTGCTTACAACCACCAGCACACTCTAAACCCCTCCTATGCCCAGACCTGAGCATAGGAGCACGCTACTTGCGAACGTGTTTGCCGCACGTTTTTCTACCATGACTGGAGGAATTGTTTCTGCTGCAAATGGTCGTCCTCCTGTTTCAAGAATGAATCTCAGGAGCAATGGACGACGTGGATCCCCTGTGCTTGAGGGAAGTCAAGCTTCTTCCACTCACCGTGATCGTTCCCGCTCTCCACGCAACAGAAATGCATCTGTTACTGCATTGGATTTGCTGAATGGCGCTCGGCGAAACCCCGTTCAGCAACCCGGATTGGCTCCCGTCGGAGATCGTAACGCTTCTAATGGTCGCGATTTTCCCCACGGGTTTCGCAGCGAGCGGCGTGAAGAACGTGAACGTGTCGAATTGAACCCGACAAGAGAAAACGCCCCGACACCCGTGGAACAGCTGCGCGCAGCACCCTTCGGCCGCAATCATGACGGTCATGCGCGCGAGGATCGCAATGATCATCGCGATCCTGGGCGCGCAGGTCGAAATGATGAGCAGAATCCTGAGCGTGACCAGACGCGTCAGGAACTGGATCGTCAGAATCTTGACCAGCGCGCAAATCGTCAGGAGCGCCAGGATCGTGGCGATCGCCGGAATCTGGACGTCCACGCTGATTTGGAATCTTGCCCGACGAATCAGCGCGCACAGCAAGATCCTGTCATCATCGCCGATGGAGTTGCAAATTTCGCCGAAATGATGGCGCGTCTGGACCCCGCCACCCAGCGAAATTTCCATCGAATCTTCACGGGTGCTGCAATTGGTGAACGCGTTACAGCACGCTCCTCTGCTTCTACAGCGCCCCGATCTGCAGAACAAATTCCTGCTTGTTACAACAACAACGACAACGCTAATAATGACGCAATTCATCACGTCATCGGTCTTCTCGCGGCCCTTCAGCGCGGACAAACCGGTGATCCAGCACCACCCCCTGCACCTGCTCGACCTATGACAGCAGCAATGCCATGCTCCCGCCCTCCTCCCGTCGCGGCCGAACCCGAGGGCGATGGCGCGGACGACGATGCGCCCATGGAAACCCTCGACGAAGGTAACACCGCTCGTCTCAAGTCTGGTTCTACCATCCCGAATCTTGCTCCTATCCCTCCTGCACGTCCTCAGTTGCGTTCTTCTTTGGTAAAAAGTGACGGCATTCGAACCCAACTTTTTGGCTTCGAGATTATCCATGCTATTGCTCGGCACGCGCTCTCCGCTTTGCCCCCTAGTGGTGGCGAGTGAGCCGCCGACTATCTCCAGCTAAATGTCGAGGAGGCGGAGGAAAAGATTCATTTCTTATTCACCGCAGATCAACGCGGTTTTGAAGTGGCCAATATGGCCCTAAAGATTAAATATGGGGAGGTGGTGGAAGATAAAAAAGTTAAGGCCGCCACACAAATTGTGGCGGCCAGCAAAAAGAGACCTACTAGACCCACCACCTCGACATCCCGCACCGATCTCCCCCCTTGTAGTAGGGGTGAAGACGCATGTACTTGGAATACGTGGCGTCGGGATGGCGACGGTCGATGCTTTTATTGTCGCGAACCCGGTCATGGGTTTAAAGATTGTCCTTGCCGAGGCCAAGGGGCCAACCGGCCGGCTAAGATTGTGTAGAGGCTTTGATGGCAGATTCTTTGTAAAACCTTGATGCTATAAATCTATTATTTCATGTTAAAGATTGATGTTGTGCCAATTGGTGATCGAGCATGCGGCTCAAATCCGCTTCGAATATAGCACGGCAATATGCTATTCAATATTTGCGTGCAAAAAAAATAAAACAAACAACAACAACAACAACAACAACAACCCCAAAAAAGGGAGTAGGGGGAAGCATGAGAACGGCAGAAGTGCCGGAAAAGAAAGGCAGTCCAAAAGGTACAAAACGCACGTGGAACATTGGAACATGCACCTCCGACCGATGAAAGCATGACTAAGATTGTAACATTGCTGGTGCGCACACTGCGGAAAGTGTTGCCTTCATTCTTGCTTACCCTTCGACTATTTCGAGCACACTTCTCACGCTACGAATGCTTCGGCAAACGTATTTGTACAGTCAAGAACGATAACTTACATCTGGCCTTAGCGGTTTTTTTATTGTACTTGTTCGTCACCGCCCCTCACCAGAGCTTGGCTCCTTCGCCGTACATGTTGCCATATCGGGTGATACAATCCGTATGCGAGGACGCCTGCATGCCTGCTTTGCATGGTGGTCTGGTTGGTACGATAGC